AAGTGTTTATTACTTTACAAAACTTGGTTTCATACTCTAAATGACTAAAATATTAAAAGTAAGTTTTAAACGGTTAAATGCAATACAATGAGAAATGAACTATCATTCATATCGATCAACAAGTCTAGATTTTTAATGATGTTTATAGGCACTATTGAGAAGTGCAAAACTAGGATGAAGCAGTTGACCTTACTTTACTTACTTACTTTCATCTTTACGCCTGTTAACCTTAATGGAGGATAAGCCGCCAGCCAGTATTCTCCGACCATTTCTAGCCTCGGTCTTCTTTTCTAGTTCTATCCAATTACTGTTCATTTTTTCGTCGTCTGCTTCCAATCCACTGGGTAATATGCTGATTGGTCTTCGTATGCTTCCTTGGCCTTAAGGATTTCAAGTGAGGCCTTGTCTTCTGACGTAGTTGGGTGATTTCCACAATTTGTGTTCTATCCACTTCTAGCGCTTCTTCCCTATTTTTTCATTTGATGGAATCTGGTTTGTTCTCTCCCACAGTACGAGTTTGTAACTGACAGTATCTGGTCAGCGAATCCAAAGTATTTAGCGTAGACAACTATTAATCAATACTTTTATCTTCCAGATGATGGCTTTTATGGTTCTCCAAGTGTCCATCCTGCATAATATAACTGTCTTGACATATTGGTTGATAATTGCTGACCAGTGTACTTTAATTACTGATCGATTATCTGACTGGAATTAACTGGTAATGTTGACTATGATTATGAAATGTCATATCCTATATAATGGGAAGATTCTGAGGTTGATTTGTTCCCCGAGGAATAGTATAATTAGGTGACAAACAGTCTAATCTCAAGTCAACAGAATAATCTGTTAGTTTGTTGTAGTAATAGTTCTAATCAATCACTTCTTTATGAAATATTTGGTGATCGATGGACAATAAAAGCTTCAGAACTAAGTCGTCTAACTAATAGAGTCAAACGTCTCTTACAAAGTCTGTTAAAATTTCATTAGTAATGTGATGGATACTACTCATAGTGTGCGCTTTATGTACATTTCGAACAATCTGATTACATATATCATACTTATCAAGGCATTTCAAATGAAGATTGATAAAAATTCAATTGAATAAAATATCAAATAGACATCAGGTGATAATTTTAAATGAAGTAGAAAGAGAAAATTAACATCATATAGAAAAGAATAAAAAAAGGGGCAGGAAATTTGAAAATTCAATATTATAACAACGAAAGCAATCATCGCTACGATAAATCATTCAGGTTTATCATGATTCAAGTGAAAGGTAACATAATGATCTTGAACATTATTCAGATTGGTTAAATTTACAAAGGAAGATGTTTGTGTAACATATCCACATGTAAGAAAGTTTACTTTGTACGTTCAACATTTACAACATCTATAATTTCAGTTATAGAATGGGATATACTTATATAGTAGGTGTTTTCGCAGATTTCCATGTCATTTTCTGAGGAGAAACTTTGTCTACTTACCAAAGTACTTCGACCCTGATTGTGTTTTCAGCTGACTGATGTACTTATCCAAAAATTTAAATGACTTATATAGTAATCTGACAAATTTTTTTATGAATTTCTGAGTTTGTAATTTATGAAACTAATTTGTAATGAATCAGATATTTTCACCATATCAATCAAGCATACAGTAGTTAGTTTGATACAGAAAAACAACGATATTTCACTAAAAACTTTGATGTTTTATTCAATTTTAAATAAATAAAATGAATAGTCTGAACTATTCATTATCATCATCAGCAGCAGCAACGTAGAACTTTGCGCTTAAGTTCAGCAGTTCAAGTTTCCATACCACATTAGAACACAGAGATGGAATTGTCAATTCAAATCCCATAGTAGTAGAGATGGTAGAAGTATTAGTAGTAATCGGATAGATTAGGGTTCGAGCATGTTATTCAAGAAGTATGGTTCAGTGAGATAAGGTTAGAAAGACAAAACTAGAGGGGTTGAAGAATCCAGAAGATTAGGATTTGAGAGAACACAAAGAATAAATGCACCGGCGCTATTGCAAACGATTCTGAGCCACGTCATTCAGGGTATCTAGCTATCGATTATTATCATCTCGCGGACCCCAACCAGGTAGTCGACAACTACCGACAAGTCCACTGGTCAATGATTTCATGGATTTCTGCCATGTTTTGGTCTGGCCGCCCCTAAGTTTCTTCCAACCTACTCCTACACCACAAAACATAGCTTGGCGAGGCAATCGGTGATTAGGCGTACGCAACACATGTCCCAACCACCTCAACTGATGAAGTTTCATTACTTCATCTATCGACCTGCCATTCTTACCTAGCACCCGTTTCCTAACAACAGCATTGTTTACTCGAGTCTGAAATATTAATAATTATTTTATCCATCCTAAAAAAGGTAACATGATCAAATAGTTTGAATTCTCATTTCGTTTTTTTCCATTCATGATTAAAAGAAAATGTTAAATGATCAAAATCAATTGAAACCATTGAATCGTTTCCGTTCAATTATCAATGTTTGAATTTTTTAATGTGTTGTTTTCTTTTTTCAAAGATGGATTCATTTTTGGATGCGTTTTTCGCTTTGGATACGGATAATCGTGAACAAATATCACTGAATGATTTAAGTGTATATAATAAAAAACATGGTTTGGAAGATAGTTTTCCAGAAGTAAGCTGAAATTATTGATTTGTGGGCAATAAATTTAAATACTGCTTATTATGATTTCATGTAAAATTACTACTGTTGTAGTATGGTGTACTAATAAGTTGAGCTTATATGGCTTGTCTTGGCTTTTGAATAAACTATATTAACTTTTTCTGCCTGAGTTAATCGACGCACATCTTTTGACCGTAGTCAGTTATTTTTACTAAAGAATCTTGGTTGTTTTTACCTGATGAATGAATGCGTGTGATGCTAGCTTTGAGAAGACTGAGGCAGGCGAGGAAGATTGTATTGTGCAAGTTTACACTCTAAGTCAGTTAAAAATGAAAACATTACATTGATTACTCTATTTGCACACCATCTTTGAGTCGTGACTTCCAACGCTCCATCCTTCTTCAATTCCTGTTGTTGCTTCCTTTCCTTCCTGTTGGTACTCCTCCATTTACTTCTTGCTTTTGCTCCATTTGCTTTCCGTTTTCCTCTTCTGACCGTGAGACTTCTTCTTTCACGTCCCTTCTTATACTACTACTTATATCGTTCGTATAAGTAGCACACACCACAGCTTCGCTTATTACATGCTTAGTTTATTTTTTGTCTGACTTTGAATACTTAATCATGTCGTATCACATTAAGTTGGCCCACTGGCTTTCTTCTGTTCACTTTGCTTCTCCTTTCGGGCTTCTCGCTATTGTCTGTCTGCTTATACAAAGTCAATGAAATCAATTCATCCGACTCAATGCGTATTTAGGTGTTTATGATCACCCTTGCACAAACGGGGGGTTCGCCTAAGAATGCTATAGGTAAATAAGATGAAAGATTAATTTCGTAGAATATTCATTTGTTCGGCCACAAAACTACCTAAAATATTATGATCAGCAGTGTGTTAATTCGAAATCTAATCAGCAACAACTTATTCTGGGAAAGAATAAATCAGATTTCTCCAACAGAGGAAGAAATCAGGAAGAAACGCTGTAAGTGGATGGGAAACATAGTGAGGGAAGCAGCAAACTGCGTCACGAGACAAGTCCTCATTAGGAACCCGTAAGTTCAAAGGAAAAGAGGAAGGATAAGGAACACATATTACTCTGAGAAATGGAGACAGACATAAGAAGAATGAGAAAACATATTTTGTGAGATAGTACCATCTCGTGCTTTCTCGTCAGTCACATACAAGCAACATGTTATTTGTGTAAATACAGTTTTTAAGGTAAGGTCAAAATTTCTTACTTAGCATGACATTCACTCACTAGAATCATGGTAAACAAAGGTCAACATACAGTTAGTTGTTTTTGAACACATAAAGTTGGACTTTTCCTACCAATCAAGATAGCTTCGAGTAGTTTCAGTGTGTGTAAGTTTTGATGACATGTCACAACTCTAAAGGTTAATTTTTGGTCAATTTGATGACCACTCATCATTAGATGTTTTGCAATGGACGAGGCTGGGTTTCTTGATCGATCAAAGGGAACCACTGTTTTGAATAAGAAGAATGAACAAAAATATTGAACAGAACTGGAGAGGGAAGCCGAGGATAGTGGTCGGTGGCCTATGCTCCGTTAGGGGGTACTAGAAGTAAGTAAGTGATTAATCAATTGGTGTAAAATGCAACAGAGTATCTTTCGTTAGTGTCATATACCATAGGTTGAATGGTTACACTGTCGTAAAGCTCACTACATAGTATCTGTTACTCTGCGCATATGTGTGAACAATCAAACTTCTCATATCTCAAAATCTGAAAATATATATATACTTGCCTTCCATTTCAGACATTTCTTCGTCGTTTTGATGCTGAGAAAACTGGTATTATAACATTAGAACAATATTGTAAAGCATTAGGTCTTGTACCAAAACAAGCGTAAGTTTAAAACGAAAAATTTACATTTAACTATTGTATATTAAACAGTATGTGGATAATATGATATTCTTCACTGTATAATGGAAATGACCAATTATGATTTCAATTTTATGGGGTGTTACGCAATTTAGTCTAAACAGCAGTATCTTTTTGATTTTGTTTTACTCTTCTTGATGGTGTAGACGTAGAAAAACTTACTTGCTTACTTACTTACATATGCCCTTACTTACGTGTGCACTTACTTACTTACTTACTTAGTTAGTTATGCACTTACTTACTTACTTACCTATGCACTTACCTACTTACTTACTGACTTATGCACTTACTTACTTAACTATTAACTTACTTAATTACCTAATTACTTAATTACTTACTTACTTACATACTTACTTAGGTATTTACTTACTCACTAACTAACTAACTAACTTACTTACTTACTTACTAACGTACTAACTTACTTACTTATGCACTTACTTACGTGTGCACTTACATACTTACTTACTTACTTACTTACATAATTACATACTTACTTACCTATGCACTTACTTACTTACTTAACTATGCACTTACTTACTTACTTACTTATACACTGACTTGATTTCTTACTTACTTACTTACTTACTTACTTAACTATGCACTTACTTACTTACTTACTTATTCACTTACTTGATTTCTTACTTACTTACTTACTAACTTACTTACTTACTTACTCGCTTAGTTATGCACTTACGTACTTACTTACTTATTTACTAACTTACTTATTTACTTACTTACATACTTACTTTCTTATGCACTTACTTACGTGTTCAGTTACGTAATTACTTACTTACTTACTTGCTTACTTATGCACTTACTTACGTGTGCACTTACATACTTAGTTACTTACTTACTAACTTACTTACTTGTGGACTTACTTACTTACTTACTTATTTACTTACTTATGGACTGACTGACTTACTTACTTACTTAATTACGTACTTGCTTACTTACTTACCTATGCACTTACTTACTTACTTACTTATGCAGTTACTTAAGTGTGCACTTACTTACTTACGTACTTTCTTACTTACTTACTTACTTACCTTCTTACTTACTTATTTATGCCTGTTGCCTCTCATCGAACATGGGTCGCCTACCAGCTTCATCCAACCTATAAATTTCTAAGCCTTCCTTCCCCATTCTATCCAATTGATGTTCATTCTTTGCTGTTTGCTTCCCATCCACTAAGTAATGTGTTCTTTAGTAGGAAATACACCGTAAGGAAGCCTCTGAGGGTTTTACTTAATGATAATAAGGCGAAAAATATATTTCAGGAACAACTAGAAAGACAGTTAGGCGACCATTTAAGCGATTTCCATCCGGAGGCAGGTTGGAATGATATCAAAAAGGCTGTGGAAACAGCAGTGATATCTGCTAGGAAGGTTGACCATAAGGCTAGAATGAAGCCGTGGATCTCAGTAGCATCCACCGATCTGATGGATGCCCGAAAACTCATCCCACCTGGCTCTGAACATGATGAAGAACGAAGTCAACTTAGGCGCAGACTTATAAAACGCCTACGTGACGACCGCGAACAGTGGTGGGTGGCGAAAGCGAGAGAGATGGAAAAGGCAGCGGCGACCGGCAACAGTAGGCAGCTTTTCCGACTTATCAAGGAAACTGGTATTAGGAATCCTAGTGTAAGTGAGACTATCTCAGAAAATGACGGGACTCTTATTTATTCTCAATCCAAGAGACTGGATCGATGGGCAGAACACTTTAGGGATCAGTTCAACTGGCCTCGAGCCACTCTTCGGTTACCCACGTCAGTAATTGTCGACTACCTGGTTGGGGTCTGCGAGACGATGATAATCGATGGTTAGAGACCTTGAATGACATGGCTCAAAATCGTTCGCAATGGCGCCGGTGCATTTATGCTTTGTGTTCTCTCAAATCCTAATCTTCTGGATTCTTCAACACCTCTAGTTTCGACTTTCTAAACTTTTCTCACTGAATCATACTTCTTGAATAATATCTTCTAATCCTAACCTCTCCGATTACTTCTAATACCTTTACTACCTTTAATACTATTGGATTTGAATTGACAATTACATCTCTGTGCTGATGTGGTATGGCGACATGAACTGATGTACTAACGTACGAAGTTCTACGTTGCATCTGACTGACTGACTGACAATTATAAGTAAGACATGGAATACAGCAACTGTTTCTGTCAGCGATAATAAGTTTATATTATTGGGAGAATCTTTCTTTGAGCCATAATATTTTGTAGGGTATATAGTTTTTTCTGAGTGCTTACTTTTTAGGTGTACGTTGTTACCCATTAGAATTGAAATTATGCTTTAATTAAAATGATAAACATCATTTTTGTCATTTGTGTCTTTATAGCTAGCTAGTTGTCTAGTGAGTTCTGTCATTAAGTTCTAATAAATTTATTTAGTATATAACTGAAAGTTGAAACCAGAACGGATTTTTCTTCCTACTTATTATAACTAGTCAGTAGTCCTATGTTCCGTCATCATTTTAGAAATGTTAACACATTAGACATTCAGTTGAGAAAAAATTATGATTTGTTGAATAGCTGCAAAGTCATTAGTAACAATTTGTAATTTCTTATTATTTACGTTGAATATAGATATTTTGTAATTACAAAGACAGATAGATACATTGGTTGTTCGGATCTTTTACAATTTGGTGTTTAAAGCTACAGCTGATCAGTCTGTTTCGGTAAATGTGTGCATTTTTCGCAGACTACCACAATATTCCCATGAAGTCGTAAGCATTTTAAGCAAAGTTGAATGATGGCTAGCATATATTTAAATCTAGAACGCGAACTTAGTTCTTTTTGGAACTCATCAGCTAGGTGTACTTAAATCCTAGAGTTGATGGTCACTTTGGGGCTGTAACACAGCACTGTTTGCCTTCAATGTTTTTGCGTTATCCCCTTAGCCACTGAGTTCAAATAACCAACTCCATTCATTAAGCTGTGTTGAGTAATGTGTCATTAGTGTCGCGACGGTCGGTATCCAACGTTTCCCCTAGATTTCGTAATTTACTCATCTGGACAATCGTTACTAAATAATGCCTGACGGTTTATAAATCAGAAGGTAAACACGAAGGGTTGAATATGTTAATTTTTGCACACCACAATTAGAACAGCAGACCACAAGCATGTAGAGATAAAATCGAGATACAAGTGCTGAAAGCCAAGCAAACTAGCAAACTAGCGAGTCAGCAAATAGGCGAATGAATTAATAAGATGAAAATTGTCATATGTATTCATAGGGAAATGTCTATGACATCAAAATATTTAAGAGATTAATATTAAAGCGAATAGGATGAATATGCGTGTAAGCGTAAGCAATCTTCAGTTGTACTAGCTCATACAAACTAGACAATAGTAAAAGTTAATGGTACATATGAAAGTTGTTGCTAAACTAAAAATGGCTTGTTTAAATAAATTAATCAAAATGCTAAACCAAATTAAAATATAAACGAACTCAAGTGTAAGTGAAAGAACTAAAAAGCCAGTAGTTTTCTGAAGTAATTAGCTTAGTGAATGTCATTTGAGGCAAACAATGCTGTGTAACAATGTCAGAATGACCATCAACTCTAAGATTCAAGTACACATGTGGTGCGCGCTACTTATAAGTAGTAAGTATATGACGCGAGTAAAAAAATGTAATGTCTGGCAGCAGAAAATGGGGGAAGATCAAGAAAGTAAGAGCGCGAACACAATGGAATTTGTATGAAACGCATGAACAGTGAAATGTCAGACAATGGATTGATGTTTCGCAACAGGAACAGTCCAGTTCCTTATGATGGATTGATATTTTGCAAATGAACGATTTACAATATGGTTTGCCTATTTTACGCGCGCGCGCGCGCGTACTAAATTCCATTGTTAACTATCATCCATCATGAAAGAAAAAATTCTGATGTTTGAGTTTCAATTGTTTTGTTTTTCCTTTTTCCTTTCCTTTCCTTTCATTCAAGGCGTGAATTACGTAGACGACGTACTACTGTTTTATTAGAACAACTTATGCCACGTGATTTAGAAACTGTCTATGATTGTATGGATTTGGAAATGAAACTCAAAGTAATGGAATTACTTATTAATGATCTACGTGAATCTGGTACTAAACCAAATATTGACATGAATAAATTAGATTTAGCTGTACAACGTTTAAAAACTTATCTTGATACACGTTATGGTAAAGCATGGCATATTATCATTTCAATTAATCAACATTTGGGTAGATTTAGTTATGAAGCAAATACAATGTTTCATTTTTGTCTTGGTAGATTTGCTGTACTGATATGGAAAACTCCATGTTCTGTTTGAACTTTTTGTTTTCTCTCTTCTTCTTTAATTCAAATTAAATGACCGGACAATAATTGTGTATTAGTTAAAACAAACAAATAACCGGAACATTCAATGTGTTCAATGTGTCTTTGCTTTTTGCCCTTTTTTCCTCATTATTTGTTTTTCTTTACGTGAATGTGTGAAGCGTTGTTTTTTGGTTTCAATTTCCTTGCTGCCTTAATTCTTCATTCTTGCATTGTGTATTTATTCTAAAGATGTTAAAACAGTTGATTTCTTTTTTTTTCAACCAGGGAAATTAGGTTTTTTTTCTCTTTTCCAATAACAATCAATCTGCTGACGACATATATAAATATATATTTGTGACATTGAAACATTGTTATTATTGAGTTGATTTAAACAAAAACTGAGAACAAGGTCATACAAGCTGTAATTGACCTTGGATGAAGAGGAAAGAAAAGATTGTACTGATTGGTGTTGTTTTTGGAATGAATGTCTTTATTTGTTTAGAATTTTATTGATATTACTTTTTTGTCAAGTGTATTATTTTTTTGAAAAAAAATTATCTTTTAAAGTATATTAATAAGCTGATTATTGATTATTTCTGACAATATTAGAATTTATTGTTCAGACAAACAGTTGGTTATTACAAAAATTTAGGTGTCTTAAATAAATGCATGCAACAAAGGTTGATAGTGACTAGTATTGGGATAGATGCTTAGAATTCCTTTTGAAATACCTTTACAAATAAAGATTCCTAACAATTCAGTCAACATTTGGCAGCATCCTAAATTATCTTCAAATCTGCTTGGTTTGTTTGGTTTGAAGCGTCTGTATTTGAAAACTGGGTAGTTTTCCTCTGAATATAACTAATTTTTTTGTAATGAGTTGTTGTATTTTGAACCTGTAGTAGCTCGAGTTGAGGTTGACTTTGAACATTACTACAGACCATTTACGTTCCCTCCACTAAGCGTAATCCTGTCGTGAAACAAAGACAGAGAAGAATATATATAACCCAGAAAAGAGCGTACATCTGAGATGATTTGGCGTCCATAATATGATGTTATCAGGTCTCTTTGGATTCTCCTGTCTTCATAAGTTTTATTCTTCAAACCTATCGTCCGATTCGTTTCTTTTCTGTGCACTCGATCCAAGAGATTTGTGTCTCTTTTAAGGAGAGGGGATGCGAAGACGTTGTGAACTTTAAGGTTTGGCTATGCGTATGTTTAAAGAGATTTAAGGACAACTGTGGTGTGATGAGTGAAGAGTTGGGCCGATCTTGGCTGCGTCTCCTATATACTTCAAACTGGTGCCCAGGCTTTCAGAGGCTATAAGACAGAGATCACACTATGAAGAGAAATTAGGGAGTGGACTACTACTGTCGGTGTAAGTCGTTTGTGCCACGTTGGGCAGAAGGTTCATAACATGACATTTTGACCAGTTTAGTATTAAGCAGTTTTTCGCTGCCGATTCCTCAGTGGATGTTAGGTCCTGGTGAAGCTCATTTGAATCTTCTTCGCTGAGTTAATTTTTTTTAACAGATCATTGATGAATATCAGTAAAAGGAGTGAGCCTAAGATTGTGACCTGTGAAACTCCCAATGTTGAGAATCACGAACTCGCATGTACTCTTGGTACGAAACTTTCTTTTCCCAATGTCGTTTCTGAGCCAATGTAGAAGTAATTCAGCGAAGCTCATCTTCGTAACCCTCACAATTAGGAGTACATGGGACGGTGTATCGAAAGCTTTTGCGTACTCAAGTAATAGTATATGAATCGGTATTCTTCGTCCAACTGTCCTATGCAATGAAAAGGTTGGATAACCATGACCTGATTTTCACTGACCCATGTTGGTCTTTATGAGACATGTTGCTTTTATCTATGTACTTCCTCATTTGTTCGTTCATCAGCCTTTTCATTTCCTTCGACAGCATTGGTAATAATGCTACTGGTTTGGGTTAGGCTGGAACCTTCTTATCTCTTCGATTAAAAATAAGAGAGTAGCTTGTTTCCATTCGAATGAGAGTTGGTGTGACTCCGATGAATACCTGAACAGGTCACATACCGGTGAACTGAAGGCTAGTACACACTGCTTCAAGACTATAGGACGAATTTGTCTCTTCCTGGTGACTTTCCTTGGAACAAGGATTTTAGTTTCCTTAGTACAAATTCAGGAAGTCATCAGCTGACACTAGTAATGAGTAGTACTCTGAACGTATAGGTACTTGTTTCAAGTGATCAGTGAAGTTGGTGTTGGAGATCTCAGCCATCCTCTAGGTGGTTGAGATCTTCGTCATTCGGACATTTGTGAGCACAAACACCACGATTTTCTTTTCTTTTTTCATTTTAGTCATTGACTTAAACAGATATTTTGAGCTTGCTTGAATTTCAGCTGCTATGTTCATCTGGAAGTTCCTCCTACCACTTCGAACTTTGGTGTTGCATCTATTTCTTAGTGCCTAAAAGGGACTACGGTTGGAATCCTTCGAAGGGACCTTTCGTTTGTTCCGAGCTATCCTCCTCACCAGTAGAAAGCGTTCAGTGCCTCGCTTAATCCATGTTCTCATATTTCCAAGTGTGTGGTGTACCTGAGACAAAAAATTCTGAATGATGTGCCCCACTGTTTGCAGGTGATCATCTATTGTTAGCTACCACCATTCCCATGGCCATGTGACGTGTAGAAGATGCTCTCTCATGAGGCTGCAATTTGCCAGTTGCGAACCAAAAACAAGGATGAAGAGATTATCCAGATGAATGGTTTATTTGCTGGCGAATTCGTGGTATCGAAAGAATACCGAAATCGTGCCAGAAAAGAGGGGCGAAATTACAGAGACAGTGGGACCAAAATGGAAGCAACGCAAACGGAAATTTTCGCATACATATAGTAATGAACAAAGAGGTTCAATAAAACATTCACCAGTACAATTGGTTAAAGTGATGAATGTTTCTATTAAAACGATTGCGGTCTCTTCATAAAAGTGGATTCATTACACCTGCCTGCTGAGATTTTGAGATGGCATTTTGAAATCTCCAGCTAAGAGTATTTGTTCAAACCAAAGTAGTGGCAATTACAATGTTTACGTAGTCAGGGCCTTGGTACTTGAGGAAAGTTGGTAAATCCTTCCAATCAAGTATTTTGTGTTATCTGTGTGAAAGCAAAACAAGCCTGATTCTATTACTTCGGTTATTTGGGAGCAGTGTATTCTTTTGGCTTTGAAATGGCTGTCAGCATATATAGACAATACAGCTCCTCTCTGGCTAACCCTATCTAATCGGATGATTGTAATTTCTTCAAAGCTGGCTTCATTGTCT